ATTTGTTTTCAATCACACATTCGATCAACAAATCAAACAATATTTTAATCAATCAGTCATTCAATAATCTAATCGATAAATCGACTAACCAAAAAACCAAATAATTATCTCACCAATCGAACATTTAATTGTTCATTTTAAAATTAAATTGATCCCTGAGTGAATAACCTATACGTAACGGACATAACTCAATCAATAAATCAATCAAGCAAATCAGTCAATTAATCAATCAAGCAATCATTTATCCGATCAAATAATCATCAATTAATCCATCCATCCATCAATCAACTGACCAATCTATAAAAAAAGAAACAGTTCAAAAACTCATGTGAGTGAATCAAATCAAACAACATTTCAATAAGAATATTTCAGTCACTTAATATCCAATCTATTAAATAGGAATGTCATCCATCAGTTAAATAAACAAGCAAATACAATTACATGAGCTTCACCACAGAGTACAAAGTGTAATTGCTTCTTATGACTTGAGCAAATAAAATGAAATCAAACAACTTAACAATAAAAGTTATTTTGCAAAACGTTTATTCATTGCACAACGACTCCACTCATGTCCTCCAAGAGACAATAAGCAAAATGAATACAATTTACAAAATATATCACGATCAGAAAATGGAAATACAATGACTGACATGGTAGTTGAAACAACACAGATCCTATAATTACACATTATTAATCAATTACATATTATTAATCTGATTGTGGTAGCAAACAAGAAGGCCCACTAGAAAGGAGAATCAAGATTTTGAAACGTCGAGGAAAATCAGGCAACACGAATGTTTTTAATATGTTGATCTTGTGAGGATCACTATCGATTTCGTGATTAAGTGACAACGTAATCATGATTTTAAAAACTTCATTTCCTCATTATTCACCATTCAAACTTTAAAAAAAAAATTGAAGTTACTTTTCTCAGTTTTATCCCCATAAGAAACAGATTGCTTCGTGCTTTTGCCCAAGTAACACTGATTTGCATGCATCAATCTCTACAGTATAAAATAAGAATTTTTCGTGAACCAATGTATCTAATATAAACACAAATTTTGTATAATTTTATGAACTATAAACTGAAAAAAAAATTAACATCAATTTAAATTACGTAAAAAGCATGAGGAATTAGGTTTCGATGTGCAAAATATGGAAACAAAACAAAACGTGATTTGCCTATTTTTTTTGCTTCTTTCAAAAACATTTTTGTTTAAATAAGACGAAAGGGTCCTTTGAGTCTACCATGCCTACTGGCTGTCTTGCTTAGGCTCTTGCTTGATGGTTTCTGTACAGCGCATGCGTGACGACCTTTAAGAGATCAATACCAGTTTCCCTACAAAAATGTACAATTTTATGCATATTTGATATATTTTGCGGAAATAATGCAGTACACATTAATATGCTGATACGTTTAACTTTTAAGCCACCAATCATGCTGATGGACGCAACCTGTTTGTAGTTTGAAAGGTGAAATGAAAGGTCAGAGGGGATTTTACAAACTGGTGTAATCTACGTTTGGACTTTCTGTTCCAATTGTGCTATAAGCGGCAAATCAATCAAATGCAGTTTTGATTAATCAATTAATCTAGAGCAATGAATTCTCACAAACAGAATGGGTAAACGAAAAATTAATTCAAAGTCATAAATAATGTTAGAGAGAAAATTGATTAGATGCCAATTTAAGATTGTGACGTTTTACAATTTTCTCAAATAGTATACAATTCTGTTAAAGGGACTGTTTGTACCGTGGTTTGAATATGATTATAATTTTAAATGAACTTGAACACAGTGTTCGATAGCATGTTCTACTTTTCCATTAACTTTCATTTTTTGTTTACCTTAACCAAATCGACAAACAATTCAACAGATGTTACCATATCAAAATATAAATTATTAGCTTTAATAAAATATCTTTACACATATAAAAGGCATTCATGAACGCACTATTTCTCGAATATCATCTAGTATCCTAGATATCGATGAACAATACCTTTAGATTCAATTTCAGGTCAATATTTAATTTTAACTCAAGGTAAATACACTGCCAGGACCTATAAAGATTGATAAGACTTACATAAACATTAAAATACATGTGTACATACAATCTTATAGTTACTGAGAGGAAGGCGGCTCAGTGATGCAACATTCATTGAGTCAAAAATCATTGAGAAATGCCATATACAAACAAATATATAATTAGGCCTATCCCCAAGATACCCCGAGCGAGCATAAGGATGCAATATTGTCTGAAAGTTATACAAAGTAATTACAAAGGCGGTTGATAGTTTGACTATTTCACTTATCATGCGTAATCTTCGAATCATCCAAGTCCTAGTTTAAAGGGAACGCACAACTTGCTCTAAATGCTTTTTGCAGCTGTATAGTTATGATCAATTCACTTATGACAGTGCATGGTGCAATTCAAAACGGTCCCAATAATAAATGGTCGCATTAATAGTTTCAATTTCTGTCATTTAATCATGTTTGTGAATCATTGTGTGTGCGTGCGTGTGTAAGTGTGTCCTATTCGACATATATATCATCTAATATTAATATCGCGTGTATGTATCTTCAATGACATTAAGTTTTTTTCGCATCGTGAACATTTGGTAATAAACATATACACACATAAATATAAAACATAGATAGTTACATACATACTTAAAAATAAAATGTTTCATAGTACTGCTCTATGTCAAACCTCACAATAGCCTTTTACCTTTGAACATGTTACAGTACACTAATCTAAAGCTTTACTCGAGTTCTAGCTCCGGGAAAATGATAGAGAATAAAGCGAAACATACCCTGAAATCAAACCTCCACAAGCTACAAATACAAAGGTGAACCACTGAAAGTTGAAAGCTACACATATTATCTGCCAAGCGATTTTGGTAGAAAAAATGCACCTCAGACAAATAATATGTAAAGAAAGATAAGGAAATAGAGCTTAGTCTAGCTCGTCCAGACTCGAGGCCCATGAGCATATCCTTTTGTCTGATTAAAGTTGTGCCTTCAGGGAATTTGATTTCAAACAAAGTTCGTTTGTTCATATCTAAGATTTTTACGACATCTAGCACATTCTGTTCAGACCTGTGTTTTGCTGGCATCACGTACATGATAAGTGTGTTGCAAGTTACATTATGAATTATATAAATCAAAATGTGACACGGTTTAAACCCGCCGATAATAATACTACTACTAATAATAGAATTAGTAATAATAATGATACTGATATCAATAATAATAACAATAATAAAGGTAATAACAATGTCTTTTGTACCTAAAGAAATCTCATCCGTATCAATACTGTTACCCCTGATTTAGTTAATTCCTTGCTTATTTTATCATAATTTAAGATAATTTATGTGCGATTGATAAATACTACAGTCACACCTCTCATTTAGGCCTACATTGGCATGAAATCAACGATGGCTCTCTTTTGGCTGACCTCGCATTGACCTGACATGCTCTATGGAACATATCCGCTATAGGATTACCTTTGCTCCACCACCCTTTCAACGTACATAATCATAGCGTGCAGTGAGGCTTAGGTAGATGGTGAATTTATCATTCATTTTGTACAGCGATGTTTTTGACACAAAGGGGAAAATTAAGTTAAATAGTGGTGTCATATTAAGGAACCTAAAACACGGTGAATATGAGATCATAACGATTTAAGATGACATGGGATTAAGAAAAGCATGTGGATTGCGTAACTTCTTGTCAATATGAATATGATGAAAGAGAACACAGCTGCTTTTGTGAATTAACATTTTCAATGCATATAACTAATTAGTACATGCAGTACATAATATCTTTCTTCATACGAAGTTAGCATGCCAATAAACACTATTAAAGTAATAGTTTATCAAGACAAAATTATATAATTACATGGGAAATTCCAATCTATATTGTCCCTTATGTTACCGATCATAATTATCTAAGATTTTCAGTACGACCGAAGCCTGTATCAAGCTGATAGATCTACTAAAGCTTGAACGAGACAAATCATTTATCAAGACGATATTTTATGTCAATTTATATTCATAATTCCATCATAAAACAATTCAATTATACTTGGTAACGCATGGGAAATACCTTAGGCATTGACTTGCTCACAGATAAACACTTACGATATCGAAACGTCGAAAAGACAAAATATGGAAGCAGAAACGCGGGAGATTTCGTTTTGACATCGGGCAAACTTTTTCCACTGTTCCTCGCAGACGTCGTCGCTATCACTGTCCTATTTTTACCGCCACTCGCCCACGCAGGCATGGAGATTCATCCACGAGACTCATTTGCCTCTTTTGCTCTCTCCCCCAGTCTTCTTCTTTTCTTCGGTCAATAATACGTGATACAGGCTCATATCTGGGCACAAAAATGGAAGCCGAAATGCGGGGGTAAAACAGAAATCAGAGATATCACCGCTTATTGGCATTAAAAAGCTGCCTGATGTCTGCTACCTGTCTCTCGTCTCTTTCCTCTTCTCCCAATTCCTTTCTTGAAGTCTGTTTTCATTGTTGATGATCACATTGTTCTGTTTAGATAACGGAGAAATTCGGAAATCCGAGAACTCGACACCACTTTGACATCTCAGACGTAAATGTATTGTGAACGCGGGGAAAAAACGACGATATCCACTCATTTTTTTGCATGTCCAACTTTTACGTTCACGGTCACATGCGAAGCCACTCTGTGTAGCTAGTACGCTCCTGTTCGTGAACATCGTCCCTCAGTAGTATCCTGTTATCACGTAGCTACATGAAAACACACCATTGTGTATACATAGTGATAAAGTAAACGGCTGTCTACGTCCGCACACAGAAGACCGACACGTGCGAACGCCTCATGCATATTCATTTCCAAAATGAGCCTCTGATTGGTCGATAGTTTCCACGACGTCAACGTTCCGTCGGTGATCGGCTGTACTCGTTCATAGTGAGATTTAGCTCCCCCCCTTGCTCTCGTCGATAAAAAGGCAAGCTGAACTCGATAACAAATCACAGCTTACAAGCATTCAGGTAAAAACGCCAGTTTGGAGGGAGCGAAAGAGTTTACATATATAACATCTTTATTGAATACCAAGCGATATAAAGCAAATTCTTGTTGGAAGTTTCTATTTATTTTTCACCTATCTTGGATACATTGTGAATACATTCATTGGCTTATACATTACACATTACTGAGGATGGCGAAATTATCATCGAATCCATTTGTTCTTGCGATCACAAGAGGTATGTACATTTTTCATCCTTCATACCATATTCATAAATGATCATTTAATTTTCTTTTAGGTCAGCTGGTAATATCAATGTTATTTTTGAAATACGTATCTCGTATGCTAAAGAGGTCATCGACTTTACTTCCACCACGAGTGAGAGTGATGCATTCCGCATCATCGTAGCAAGCAACAGGTTCCGACTCGTATTTTCGCATCCCATTACCTGTCGGATTTCGTAATGTACGTTCCATCTCCCCGTCTCCTTCTCTTTTGCTATTTAATTACCCCTTATTCATCTTTAACTCTCTTTCTCAATCATCGAATCCATGGAAGATGAAACTTCAGAACTTTAAATTTTTGCCAATGAAATTTTTTTGAGTAGAAATAAACGTCTGCAGCTAGCTATTGTAATTTTTAAGTTCACACCACCGGAGATGTACAGAACTCTGCTTTGTATGCAGATTGTGTTACCACAAGGAGTCTCCACCATCTGGAGGGGGCCGGTGTTACCCATCTACTCGCGGGCCGGGATGCCTCTTACAAAATGCCCACATTAACCTTTCTGAAATTGGTCCCCCTTTCTCATACTCGTTTCCAATTAATTCTGACCTCGGAGAACATAACCGATCGAGTTACATGGACAATATCTATTTTAATTACATGTGATATGGCGTTGCTCCTAGCATGCTCGTACACACATGTACAGCTTGAACAAAATATTGGATTTGGGCCAAGAGCACCGTGTGAATAAACATTCCAGCATGATCGATCTCTGTTGTTCCCGGTCCACGTGCTCTTTTTGTTCCCAAGAAGCTATCAACTGCGCACATTCCATTGAAACTATGTTAGCGATGTTTTTAGAAATAGATTCTATTTTTTTTTGTTCATGTGCATTTTTTGAGATATTAATATTCTCCATCCTTTTATCAATTTCTTTGTGTTGCAGTTTATCTTAGTCTCACATTACTGGGCCGGTCATACATAGCACTAGGAGCCCCAACGCGGGCACCTTTGGAATATATTGAAACACCAGCAAACTCGATCCTGCAGCTCCATGAGTACCTATCAGACGCCACGTTACAATTGGCTAAGCATTCGAGAAATGTTTATAACGGCTTTGTAAGTACTTTTTAAATCTTTGCTTTCTTCTCACTAAAGTCTAACACTTAATATTTTTAAGAAGTCAGTTGTTACCTATCCCATATAGTGTCGAGGGATGGTAAATGATTATTGATGCCTGTCGGTATCACGAAGGTCGGACTATACATACCGTCTCCTCATGAACAGGAATCGCACAAAATAATATTAAAAAATACTACTAAAATTGCACTTCGTGGCATTCATCCCAAATCACTCCCTAACTAAATAGGTAGAGTGGTATCTAAACTTCTGATATGCCGCTTAATTGATGCAATAATGAATTTGCCAATTTAACTAGCGCTCTCGGGTAGTTGCGCTCTCTTTGTCAGTTTAACTTGAAATGTCAAGGGGAAAAATCGGAAGTAGATTTCATCAACATATTAGGCATTTAGGGAGTCCAGCGTTGGTAACAGCGGAGTTGCTCAATTTACGGTAAAAAGAATGATTGATGATTATGAGAAATGATAGATTAAAATGAGGAAAGTTACTTTTGTATTATCTGAATTGTAAGATAAACAACAACGTACTCGTGTGGTATGAGACATTACGCTGAGGCACTTGAAATTCCTACTGGTAGGTTTGATAATGAAGGTGTACTTCCACTAATAATCAACTCCACCACGTTTTGCAATGATACAGGGCATAATGAGCTGCCTGATGTACGTGTTAAAAAGCCAATCTCATCAACAGAATATCCGTTAATAAAAATCCATGTGTGCATGTAGGTCGGGCACTGGTACTCAAAGCTTTGGGGAAAAAGTCAATGAGCAATGACGTCAAATTTTCAGCAAACAAGTCGTGGGTGTAGTCATATTTATAAACGAACTGCTCTGTAGTGAGCCTTTGCCTTCCCGCCAGTCCCATAATTATGAGATGGATGATAGCCATATTATTGCATGCATGGAGCTAATCGGACATTGTCAAATACTCATTAGGGAGAGAGGGTTTGCTCCTATTCGATTCCGTTCTTCATGGCCCATTGGTCCGCGACCAACCCGACAACGATACTTCCGATCTCGAGTCTTCCGCGCCTGTCATCTCCCCGATTAATGAATATTAAATACTCGTTTTCGTTTTAAAGGGAAACCACCTGATATACCTGGCTAGATATCATTTCCGTAGCTTTAATTTCACTCAAGAGTTCATTATCAAATATCCACGTTGCGCGAATCGCTTGGTCTTTTGACATGGCCACATATCCTTCTCTATTAATACTTTGATCATTAAATGACACGGCACATTCCGCTCCCAAATTAACTGTTTCGAAACCACGCTGGTATTTATTCTTTTCATAAACCTAGCCCCTGAGAGCTTCCATGAGTCTTTTGTAAATAAAAGTCAAATACAAAAACAGTACCACGCACTTGCAAACCTTTTTCCCTGGCCAGACGGAAGTTTGTTTAAAATGGTGTTGATGTTTTTTTTGTTGGCCTTTTTTATTCGTTGCGCCTGGTCACGACGAACACGGCGTTCCTCTCTTTAGTGTCATTACAGTATATGTGTAGTTAGCACGAATGAATAATCAGAAATATGTGGGCACAGTAAAAACATACACTTTACGTTGAATATATACATATATGGGAGAAGAGTAATGGAAGAAAAGGCACTTCGTACAGGAATTTTTCCTATGGTCATGTGTAACTAGCGTCCCAGCATGGTGAAATTCTCGATATTTGCAAGAAGTAACGTTTATTGCGCAATAGCCTAAGCCACCATCGTCGGGCTGGACCCTCGCCCTTTGAAGTTGAAGAAAATTATTGCTGTAACAAAGAATAGGATAAAGGGATCAGGCTAGACAAATCATCGATTTCACATGTAGGAACTTTCTGGCAACGGGGACGTTAAACCCTCGGTAGAGTCACGCTGATAAAGGAGCAATTAAGCGAAAGGTAATGTTGACAATAGTGACAAAAGCATACCACAGTGGGCCAGTCATGGATCAGCGATAACTATAGGCATTCAATACACAATGTTCGGCTTGACCCAGGATAGGTTGCTTCTTTTGAATAACAAGTTTATAACGTTGATATAACGTACCATGAGTAATTGGCGAAATTCCCACGAACAAAGCAAGAACAAATTCGGTATTACCCAAATTCGATTTAGGGGCGTATGTGCACGCTCTGGGGCTCTCACGTGGCTCCAAGAAAAATCGTTAAATAGTCAAGTTACGAGATTGGGGAAGGGTGCCCAACTTCTTTAAAAATTCTAGCACTCTTTGAATTTAACAAACCAGTGTAAGTCAACTTACGCTTGCAAGTTGATTCTAGCTAATCTTTACAGGCGTCACAGCCTCACAGGACTTCATTTAAGATGTTTAATTCTGACTCTAACTGATTTCTTTCATTACTCCTTTTTTTGATATTCCTACAGAGAAGGCAACGATTCGGTATCGAGGCTGACATCAACCCCCGTACATTCCAACTCGGCGGACTCCCAGCAATCCGTGATCTTGAAGAATCGAGGACAAGGCTAGGACTGACCGAAGAAGACCTCCTAGAAACACACAGATCAAATCTTGGGATCTATTACCAAGCCATGCAGTACCTCATCTCAGACGAATCATTGTACATCGGTGCCGATGACTTCCTACATATTGAGGGCGATGGCTCAACCTTCTACCATATCCGTAATCACATTGAGAGGACGTTAAGGAAAATCGATGAAATTGTAAGTACCGTCCACCTCATGTTTGACCCTTTCACACTCAAATCACAGTCACACCAAAAGCCGGACACCAGACCGAACGAAAAATGTCATTAGTCTGAATGACCCAAAACCGGTCGGGTTTGAGTCGGTTTGGCGGTGTGACAAAGGTTGCGTTTATCTAGAAAATTTTGGCTAGATCAGGTTTCTCAAACGTCTTTCAGGCAAATTTAGAAGTAGATAAACGCAAAGCCTTTTTCAAACGTCTTTAGATATGGGCATATCAAAAGACGCAAAAGGTGCGTTTTGTATGTGACATACAGCCAGAATCACGTTCTGAGAGGTCGATAAACGCAAAGCTGTTTTGAACGTCACATACAAATAGGACCACACAGGTGTTGTGTACAAGCATGTGTGTGAATTTGACCTCCGAGAAACCGTCTGCTTCCCGGGTCAAAAAGCTGGGCAGACACAAAGCCTTTATTTTGAATCGTGAAGAGTAGATAAACGCGACATCCCGCAAATCACGATCGTATAGTGGGGTATGATAGTGGGGTTCGATAGTGGGGTACGATATGACATATCTAGTGGCAAGCCTAGATAAACGCGCTCTTAGATATCTATATTTGCTGTTATTATCGTTTTGCTCCTGCGTGTGATATTTACTGATTTCTAACTCCAAGTAAATCACATAAAACCATTAATTATGGACTGATTAAACTATTTTTTAGATACTTGTAGCAAAATGGTAGCAAATAGCAATACGAAGTGTAATGTCATGAATTGATTCAGAATATTTTAAATGGTATTGTGTGACAGATAACTTTTGTATATATTTTCACCATGCATCTGCAGCTAAGTAAACTAATCATTTGTTTCCTTCATTTCTTTCGTTGATTATACAGATAGCAAGAGAGGGGTACCGTGGAGAAAACCGAACACCTGTAACCACCACTCTTACATTCCACACAGAGCTGAACGAAAACTTCAGGAATGTACGAGATCTATGTGTGCTATTTGAAATTTTCAAATACACGAACGAAGTTTTATACGCCGACGTTAAACGACACGAAAGCGAACACAGAGCAGAAGAAGTCATGTCAGAGAGGTAAAACGAGGCCTAGGAATTATTTATATATAGTCATTGAAATAGTATTTAAAAATGAAATTTTGAAAAATGAAAAATGAAAAATGAGTATTTATTATCGAAAAAGAAACTTTCACAATTCTAAAGTGTCCTCGCCATCACGGCTCTTTCTATTTATAGGTTTTCCACTTCGGGAGAAATGTGGGGCCAACTTGAAAAAATTGTTATTCAGAGATTTGTATGGTGATATTCAACAAAGTATACATTATTGTTTGCTCATGTTTCAAGAAAATGTCAACTGCTAAAGAAAAAAGGTGCTAAGTAGAACGATTTTAGTACATTTCAGAGCGATATTTAACATGTTTGACTTCAGTTATGTGTAGAAAATTAAACAAAATGTCAGGATCAAATATATCCCCTTGTTTTTGGTACGCTATTTCAAAGAATAATTTCCAAAGCACAAACTCTGTCCCTTTTTAGTGCGTGTAGAGTTATCCTTTCGTAGATCGTAGAGGGAGTATTGCAATAATATGTGCGGTGTGCTGAGACTTTAATTTCGGGCAAGTAATGTCGCTTCTTCGAATATCTAGCGTCTAGATTATCAAAGGGAAAACAACTATCCCACTTGATAGTGTTTTGAGGGGGTATATGAACATTGTATTGTAGATATAGTTTGGTATTCAATATGACACCTTGATTTTATTTATTGGTATTGATATCAATTATGTAAGTTATTTATATTAGATATTTAAGCATTCACCGTTTATTTCTTAAAACATCATTCATTAAAACAATTATACAACTCAAGAATTACGAGCTTTATAAAAGCTTGAGTTAGCGTAATATTGGGAGGAGGTGGGGAGGGGGAGGTGATGAGGTCACGTGTCATTCCTCCTGACATTATTTCCTTGTAATAACTTCACCTACTGTGTTGAAAGAAGCTATCGTCGTATCTTGCCTTTTTATTTTTTTAGTTATTTCGCTCTTTTAACAGGATCATTGTTGTAAAATACCAAAGAAACTCTTTAATAGTATTCATACTGAGTAAAGATTGTTAATAGAGGGAGTTCATTACAATCTAGCATCGTTTTGATTTGCTTCTTTTTTCATTTATTTATTATATTGACTTTTCTTTTTAAATTTTAAATTGATTTCTTGTTGAATTCAATTTATTGTTTCAAGTTTCAGGAAAAGACATTTTGTATGTCATATTGAATCGATGTGTATTTCTTATTGCTCACTGAGGCCTTGTCTACTCTCCTACAGGCCCTCGTAATTGGACATACGTAAACATTACATGTGTGAAAAAGCGGGCTGGCCCGTCTTAAATCTATCTCTATATTTTTCTTCATGTGAATCGAGATGTGGTACCTATCGTAGCAATTTATTTTAAAATAGGCGCGTTATCGCTGGCATCATCTGGCTATTGTAGATAATACTCGCTCTGTAAATTTTATCTGATTGTCAAATAATCGAGCTTTGAACTATGCACTTTCCAAATAGTGCCCTACATGTTTCGAAAATAGAAAGGTATCTCTTGTGTGGAAATTTTCTCTTCGGAAAAAGACAGTAATATTGTTGATGGTAATGGTTTAGGAACTCCCACGCCGGGAGGGGCATTTCGTCTATCCTCCATAAGTTGTATGTGAAAATGCTAATGTTTCGTCAGATGTCAATTTACGTGTGCCAAAATTTCTCTAATGCAAACAAGAATGGGTAAGGGAGAGTCCAAAGAAATGAATATTAATCCATCTATATGGAGAAAATAAAATAGCGAACTTCAATTAGATTATTCAATGTAAATGTATGTTCGAATCAGACAGACGTAGAATAGCTCGTGCACTCAACGGTTCTTTCTGAAAACTCACTTTTCAAATGTTTCGACTCGTATTCAAGAATATTGTTTTCACGAAACATTGTATTCGGGATTGTGAACAGGTGATTCAGAACAAAACAGTCCGGAACAAACATATATAAACAAAGAAGGAAACAGATTAATGTGAAATCTGTTTTGCCAGTAGACATAATTATTTTCTTTGTTTGAGTGTGGTTAAAAAATCTGCTCATTGGGTCAATTTTCTTTTGGTATTCATGCGATAGACTTTTTAATAGCTTGAACGATTCAGTTTTGTTATTTAATGATGTGCCACTTACTACTCTAAATCAAATCTCAATTTTCTGTCTATTGTATGTACAATGAACTGTATGTGTGTGTGTGGATGTGCGAGCGATGAAATGATATTATCTGTACGCAGTTGTATGTTTTTATAAACAAAAGAAAATATATGACTATTCTATATTTTATATTTATGACGATAAGTTTACAATGTGACTTAAATTTGAGCGATTTATTTTATGTTTCATATTGTCAACGATATGAAGTGATTGTATGAGTATAGTGTGTGTCGTCTCATGGATTTTATACTTGTACAAAATACGTATTTCATGAAATGCGAAGTGTTTTTGAATGTTCTTGTCAAATATAATTTATTAAGTTAGTACTGTAAGGGTAATACTGAAGAGATGGAAGTGTCTCAAGATATTATTTATGAATCTATGATCAACAAAAGTACTATTTATTGTTAAGTTATTTTTGACATTCCACTGTGGTGTCTATATTGAAGGAGAAGAGGAGAAAACGATTTCGTCAGCGTTCTGAGATGAATGTTTGATGGAGATATTGTTTAAAAATGAATAAATTATGATGTACAAGCTATGCTTGTATAACAAAAATAAAAACATTGATTGTGTTATTGTGATATATTTTAATATAACTTTCATTGTGTTGTCTCGGCTTCTGAAAGTTTTATAACTGGAGTATGCAGAGTCTTTCGGTTGACGAGGCGTTGTGTGCTGTTCATGTGAGCGTGTATGATGATACGATAATACGAATAACTATGTGAATAAGGAGGATATTCTAAAGAAACTTGTGAAAAATGTGTTTATTAGTTTGTGAGGTAGAATAGCAAATGTCGATTATTTGTACGATGATAATACAAGTGTTTGAACGTTAGCGTTTGTGAGAAAGATGAACACGAAAGAAAGGTGAGGACGATAAAAAAAAAAGGTAAAGAAGAGTTATACACGTAATTAAAAACAAACAAAACCTACCAACCAACAACAAAAATATAAAATAAAACATTATTTTACCCCTGTAGTTCCAATTATGACATTTGATAGCAAAGAGATAAAAGTTCGAATTTGATGTGATTCTGATTTTTTGGGTTACGATGTCAAATTTGTTGGCCATGTTGGACAGTTTACCCTTTTCTTATACACATAACATAATTTCTTGAAAATAATAATCATAGAAATATGCAATGTTAGTATTTTAGAAGTAAAGAATCAGGTTCCTATTGCATAATGACATGCAGATCTGCACGTGTGACATTTGTAAAAATCTGAGAAAAACAGTTCGCATGACTGCGGTAATAGTTTGGCATCGTGTTTTAGAATGGTACAGTACTATAACATGTAAGAATCCCCGTTGAATTAAAAAAAATGGAAAATAATAAATATATACCTGTATTTAGTTATCAAGCATTGAAATGCAATGCCAAGTTCAACATCCTACGTAGCATCATTGATATCCAAGTTCGAGGTCACACGGTAACATCAAAGTATTACCTCAAATTCCTGCATGTCGTTAACAGGTTGATACCTACCAGACGACCAGGGGTGCAATGATATCCCCCATCCACGCCCCCATTCTCCAAGGAGTGATCATTGAGGTAGCTCATGTGTCTTTTAGATAGGCGCTGATCGCCAGTTTATCATGTCATCTATTTATCAGATCATAACAGACCAGTGATACGTCGATGAAACTTGAAGATTAAGGTAAATCTTTTGAGCATGTAATTTTATTCAGATTATCGCTAATCACAACAAAATAAATATTATTCTTTCTAACGGGTTGTCAGTGTGTGCGTGTGTTCACTCTTTTATTCTTAATTTAACTAGTTAAGGGGTCAAAATAAACACCTTAACGACGATTAAAAAAAAGGATACTTCTCTTATAAATTTTCGTCCCCCCTTCAATTTCGTTTCTAATTTTGGAAGCCTTAAGCGATATCAGTTTAATACTAAGCTACCTTCATTCTCGCTCTCTCTGTCTCTATCCCCTTCATGCCAACATCCTAATTTTTTCATAATATCTGCATTTAAATAAAAACTTAGCTTAAATCTCGATCGAAAGAGCTTCTCTTCAACAGCGTACATCATCAAATTTAGACGAGTCTCAAATCTCAAGTCGCCTTGATGTAAACACGATGGTCTTTACAACACCCACGTTACCTAAATCCACTGGGGAAATTAGACAGAAAACACGTGTATTGTTGACAAATTGCGGAGAAACATATTTTTCTTGAGCCGTAAGAGAAATACCTTTTCGAAAGATCGTCACTCTTTGAACCTCTTCTCTCATCCCTTCTTTTGTACCCTTTTCAGTAAGCGCGTCAGCGAAAGTAATGTACCTGCAAATTGCGTGGCGTACCAACATATCCTTGGTAGAGAGAGAGGGTATAATGTCTTACATTACTTTTTCAGGATTGGGTGTTGTATGCCATGTGCCAGTTGGGGGTTACAGTTCACTGGCATAAAAGGTAAGGAAAATTTCCAGAAAAGTACAAGGTAGGTCGAGGTGCGACTTGGTGTAATGATACCCCTACAGGCCCATCATCAACACAATAGGCATGAAGCACTGGGCTTATTCAATTTAGAGTATCTGTGTGGGAAGGGAATTTGTATTCCATGCGTTTGCCATGAAGGGGATAGGGGTTGGGGGGGGGGGGCATATGAATAGGCGAATATCACAAATTCACATTATTATTTCAAGTTTATCTTAAAACATTAGAATTATAAAAACTGATATATAGCATGTAGGCCCTAAATAAGAAGTGTATTTTAAGCTAATGAGTTTCGTTAATACAATTTAATTTCAAGAGGAACTACCTTAAAGTGCGATCGGATTATCTATCGAGTGGTAAGTGGACTGGTTAAATCAGAGGTAAAAAGAGAGATAACAATAAAAGAAAGAATAAACGTCCGAGAGCTTGATGGTAATTATACCCACTGAAAATACCTATACAAGAGACCTTGTGTTTTGCAAGTTGGTCGGAACAACCAACTTCAATTAATAATCAATTATTTTAACTTCCTACCTATTTCGCTGAAAAAACAACAACATAAAATCGTCCTACTAACATTTTGGGGAAGTGTCATTTATTTGAAGTTGTGAACATTTATTGTAGCCGGTTCGTAGGTTCTGGGAATAATATGTTCCATTCCAGTATTACTAGAACATAATATGAGGCTGATTTAAACCTCGACGGTAAAACTACACGCTGTGTCAATACTATCATCGCATAATCAACAAATCATACACGAATTTTTTAAATGCTTGCTCCTGGAAGACACTTTAAGCACGTACTAAATGTTAATTGCAAATAAAGTCAACCTCTTGGGAATCACCACCTTCTGCCATATTCAGTGCATTAAATGCCAACATTATTATTGGTCGCTAGGGGGCGGTAGACCACTTTAGAAATGAGGACAACATTAACGCTCGCGCATACCATGCGAAGGACCAACTTACTAGAGTCTGCTTTCGAAATAGTTGTACCGGGGCTCAATCCTGGAACTATACAATTCTGAAAAATTCACTTTGTCTTCTTCTGTTCTTTTTTCTTTGTCAATGTTCATAATGTACCCTTTAATTCTGTAATGTGGATTTTAATCAACTAGGCGTAAAGGGTAAATGACACGATTGCTTTGACGATAGAAACTGAGCAGTTGGTGAGAATAATCATTTGATGATGTACATCATTACCGTTCTTGCATGCATGGAAGCGCGTCAAATTAGATTTTGTCAAACATGATAATACACGCTTCTTTGAATCTTCATTATAACATATTGCCTAGACGAGACACAATGAATATGATATTAGGCATGTAAACATACTTTACCTGGAGGCTTGCATGATGCATCGAAAACGATGTAATGAGTGGAGAGTATAGTTGCATAGGAATCGGTAGATATTTTCTTCAATCCATTAGTTAATTTTGAATCGGCAAGGCACTCGTCGATAATGAAAAACAAATTAAGATTAATCGATTAATTAATCAAATAATGAAGAAGAAAAAAGGGACGTGTATGAAACTTGCTCGCTTGCCCGTAAAAGGCTTGGCTGGGGGGGGGGGGGGATGAATAACTAAAGAATAAATAAAATGAAAGAAAAGCTGTATCAAGCAATTTGAGAAATAAAGAGAAGGCCAGAAAACAAAAATGAAGTGTTTGCTGTTCAGACCCCCCCCCACAAGAAAGGCAGAAGAAAAGATTTAAAAAGCCTGTGATTTTCATTGTTTAAATAGCTTCTAAAGTGAAACAAAATAATACAAAAATTGTCATACATTGCATCAGTATAGGCCTACTCACATAGCACACTATCTGTGAACGAATAGGCTTGGCCTACCTTTGTCGCGTCCACTTTACTGAAGTCTACACGGGAAAACGCATGTAGGCCTTCTTTCCAGTCCATGGATTGAACTTTGAGTTAAGAACAATAATAATGTCCAGTAGATTAGCCGAAGTTGCTGATGACGGTGTCGATCATCTTTTAACCATAAAAATGGTCAATATCCAAGGCTGTTTACGTCGACGATTAGCTAATTTTCTGCATGATTCGGCACTCAACTCAAGCTCGAAGTCTAGCTGTCAGGCGAATAACCATTCGGCAATGCGTAATCATGATTGAAAGTGGCAAAGCGCACTGAACAGTATTTCTGCATAGCATAACAATGTTTCTTATTACCATTACAATGCTTCCTCATTAGCATAACAATATGTTCCTACGCGTATGCACATTCCGGGGATACATTCTCACCTGTCTTGCTTTGTCGACGTGCGCACAAAGTTCATACCGATGCGCTTTATGCATGCGCTTCGTATACACACACAAGACGGCGATGATGGCTGGTCTAGATTTAAAAATGTCGGGACACAGTCATTTTGTCCAATACACTGACATAACAATATAGTTTTGCATTGATTAGTGCGGGATTAGTGTCAAGTTGCAAAGTCAAAATTATGCTGGCTGAGGTCTAAGAAACTGAAAAAAGGATACAAACTTGAGCTTTAACAAGAAGATTGAACTGGTGAGACAGTAAACATTATTTAAGAATCCTGTGTGAAGTTTAGGTAAGTATCAGCCTCATGCAGTTTGCTGGTAAGCCAAGGCTCCAACCGACCATGGACTTTCAGAACGGGGAGTATTTCAAAGGTCTCCTTTCTTTAGTTCAGGACCGAGCTAAAGCATTCCATCCAGGACCAAGACTCATGATTCTGAGTGGGGCAGGGCCTCAACTTTGCTGCAACTAAGGTATAGATCTAGATCTATTTATGAGTTTATTTGATCGTGTTGTATGAATAAAGATGCAGTTTGTGATGTGTTATGATCGACTTCATTACGATAATAATATAGACATGTGATGTTCTCTCATTCAATGTCAATACTGAGCGTGGGTAGATCTTCTTTATTGAAACTCGACGTTCGGTCTTGTATCACGTTTTACAGAAGAAGCTATCTCGATAACAGGTCCGTGCTCCCTTTCAAGTGTAGGAGCTTAAAAACAGGGGCGTCAATAGGTCATTTTGAACGGTGGGTGGGGGGGGGGGGGGGGGGGGTGGACCAAATTTTCTGACACCTCTGAAAACCTTCCGGGAATTAAGTACAATGAAAAAG